GAGTGAGGCAACCGGCTGTGAGGTATAAAAAATGTCAAAATTCCTTGGACACACACGCGAAATAATGGCAATTTTTTCTTGACCGTTTTCTTAAGAGCTGGATAATAAGCTTTAGGCAGATGTCAAAAACGCTCAGAAATATACTTTTTTCTGAGTACATGTATCAAAGTGATGATTGGAACAGAGAATTCTTGAGTACTGAGTATTTTCGAGTTCTTTTAAGTTCTGAGTACTTTCGAGTTCTTTTGTGAGTACTTAGTACTTTTTGAGTTCTTTTAGGTTCTGAGTACTTTCGAGTTCTTTTGTGAGTACTTAGTACTTTGGAGTACTCGGTATCGATACTTTTAAACATCGAGTGCTGTCGATCCTTTTGAGAATCGAGTTCTGAGTACTTTTGGTATCGATACTGCCCAACACTACTTTTTTCCCTAACCCAGTTCTTCCTAATACTGTTAGACCATTGCTCTTTTTAAAAGTGGAGTCTGTATCAATTCTGTCAAAAGTGTATTTGAATTCATGGTAGATTGTACTATAGCTGGATTCTGGCAGTTTGTTCCTTTCTACGCTGTTGAACAAGTCTGGGTTATTAAACATTAATTTCACTATCTCCCTGCTTGTAGTCTTTGCATATTCAACCTTTTACCTGATGAAGCTTTTGTATAGGCTCACCGCCACTTTTGGTGTTATACCTGCTTTAACCGGAGTGAGACATTTTAAAAAGTTGAATTTTTCTTTGTTTCCTTAACTAGCCTTTCAAAGTGAGGCCCAACCGTTAGTGATGCGTTGATGGTTCTACCGATAAATTTTATTTGCCTGGCCTGTTCAATCTGAACGTCGTTTATTTTCATGTTGATGTTTTTATTGCTGCCTCGCGCTAGATACATAAGTTTAGTTTTTTGAATATTAAAGGATGAATTTAATTTAGTGCATATCTCACTGAAATTTTTAACCTTCCGTTCAAGGTTTGAAACCACCAAGTCGCAGCCGTCCCCATGTGCTAAAATCAAGAAATCGTCCGCAAACTGATACACTGAGTCCTCAATACTTTGAAGTTCTTTTGTGTATGAAGTTTAAAGAGTAGTGGCGAGAGACAGCTGCCCTGTAGTAGGCCATCTTCAACCACTATCGATTCGTTGCCAAGAAGTAAGATTCTTTTTTTAAAAAGTCCATAATTCAGTTATTATATGGGTCTGGTAATTCAAGGTCCCCTAACATAGTATGTAGTTAGCTCAATGACACACAATTGTAGGCGTTGCTTATATCAAGGGTCAGGACCACAGCCTTTTGCCCTGCGTGTTTAATATTATCGACTTTGTGTAAAAATTCATTAATGCACATGGCGGCAGATTTACCTTTTCGATAAGCATAGCTGTCGATTTACCACACTAGCCCAGCCTAATAGTCAGCAAAGTTTACGGCAACCCTGTCATCATGTTTTTTACTTCTTTGTATTCTTGTATTCTTACCATATTCTCGTTATGTACATTTTCCACTTCATACGTTCAAATATCCCGCAATTTCTCATACTCATCGCATTTCCAATCTAAAAGCCGAAGAAGACGCTCGAACAAGAACACCAATTTTGAAACACACACACAAAACGAACCAACAAACGCCAACAAGCAAGCAAGCAGCAATTTTGTCATCGCCTTATATTTAAACCGATCAATTATACACCCTACGTTTTTATAAGATTGGAAATCGCAATAAACAATAAACTTCACATTTTAAATACAGTGTAAATTTATTTAGTCGTCGACAACAAAGTTTTCAAAATTGTTCTTGGTTCGAGCGTCAACTAGTCACAGTGTGTGTGTGTGCCGCTGTTTTTGTGAGGATTTGCCGTATATTTCCTGGAAGTTTGCCGTTTTTGTTGCCGCTACACCATTTTTTGGAGCTATACCGGTTACACTCGCCGTTAACATAGATCATCAGGGAAAACTGTACATATATCGGACGATTATCTACCGTTCTCCGCAAATGTTTTTTCACCAAGGGTAAAATTTCTCAAAGTCACCGCAAGGACATTGGATATGCGGGTGAAATCATCGAGCTGAGTTGTGCTTGCGTATATGCATGCTCATAGTCTCCCTTTGCAAACATAAGCCGCGAAAGGGAGTATATTTTCGCGAACATTGTTCACCATCTGCCAATTCTATAAATGTCGGCGTAAGGGCATTACGTACTTTTGTGAAATCGACGAGCCGAGTTGGGCATGCGTATATGAACACTCATAGCGTGGTTTTTCCTTTTGCCAAAAACATAAGCCGTCAAAGCGAGCATATTTGCGGAAACGTTTTACACCATTTGCTAATTTAGAAGTCGCCGTAAGGATATTCACATACTTTGGCGGGGTCGTCGAGCCAGGTTCCAGTTTTTTTTTTTTTGCGAAACATACACGTCACGGAGTCGAGTTTTGCACGCGTACATTGCATACTCATACAAATTAGCATCGAACTCAAAGAATTTGTCAATCTTAGCCAATTTCTTGGCGAAACACTTAAGCCTTCAAAGCGAGTACACTTGCCTAAATTCGCCGTTGTCATCGTCTACTGATTTAAGAAATTTCTGCACTAAAGCGAGTCGCTGTAAGGTGGGTAACAACAAATTAATTAAACTCTTATAGTGTAATGATTACTCGTGGTCAAGCAAATAAAGCCACACTATCGAGCGACGCGGATGATAGTAGTTCCGACTCAGAAGCAAGTGTCACGGCAGTTAACATCGAAGCCCAGAACATCACAATGCAACCAGAAGCAACCATCGGGAGCGACGCAATAGCCTCTTTGGTGGCAAGTATCACGGCACTCAGGGAAAGCGTGCAAGAGTTGCGAAACGAAACGAGCCGTGGTCAGGCAGAGGTCCAACAGCTCCGTCAGCGTATTGAAATGGACTCTGCTAATGACGCCAATCACGGTCCATCGCCGGACGTACCGATTCCAGACACACGTTTACCACATACGTTACCACAGTTGCCTCCGCCTGGATCACAACCGTCTTCATCACAGCCATCAAACGCGCTGTCGTTTCTGGAAGGATCCGCCGCTAAGCTGTATCCGCTGCCTGCCTTCGATGGCAATCCAGAGGATTGGCCTCTATTTTACGCCAACTATATCGACACAACAGCTGAGTTTTCGTATAACAACAGGCAAAATCTTATGCGCCTGCAGAAAGCGTTGCAGGGTAATGCTAAGCGAGCAGTCACGTCGATGCTCATCTATCCAGATGATGTTCCTAAAGTCATGAAGGAACTGGAATTTAATTTTGGACGACAAGACTTGTTAATACGAGCACAATTGCAGAAAGTCCAGCAGTTCCCTAGCATCCATGATAATCGTTTGGACCAAGTCTTGGAGTTCTCAAATCGTGTTCGTAACATAGCAGCGTTCTTTAAGTCTGCCAAATGCGAGCACCATTTGTTGAACCCCACTCTACTGGAACAATTAGTATCGAAACTGCCACCGTCCAAACAGTTTGAGTGGAGCAAGTATGCCGCCAACATATTGCCGTTTCCAACAGTGGAGAGCTTCGCAGACTGGCTGAGTGATTTGGCCAAAGTCGTGTCGATCATGCCCGGAGTTGCAGACATTTCGCTACGTCATAGCCAACCGCCATCGTCGACGAAACACAGCACAAACTACAGTCGTCAGTTAACATCAGGCGCAGGTTCAGCACGGCGAATGTTTCACAGCAGTGAAGAGCAGCCCGTATGTTTTTGCTGCAGTCAGTCGCACCTCGTGACTAATTGTCGCAAGTTTGAATCGCTTGACTGTGCTGCAAAATGGTCACTTGTCAAACAACATCGTCTGTGTTTCGGTTGCCTACAAAAGGGTCATGGTTTGTCTACATGTCGCCGTCGTAAAACGTCAACGTATCAATGGCTGTAGGCGAATGCATCATAAATCACTGCATCAAGAACTTCGTACAAACGTTGTGCCGCCCACCGATGGAGAACGTATCCTGAACTGCCACCAAGCCAAAGAAGCTAGCCTATTTAAAATACTACCTGTACTTTTATTCGGTCCGCATGGTAGTATGTCAGTGTACGCCATGATCGATGAAGGTTCATCAGTGTCACTTCTTGAGGAAGAGGTTGCCGTACAATTAGGGTTACGAGGTCGTACCATGCCACTTACTTTACAGTGGTACGGTGACAACCAAACTACTGAGAGCTCGAGAAAAGTCTCATGCGAAATTCAAGGGGTAGGCAGTGGCCATAGTTTCCCACTCAAAAATCTGCGTACAATAAAGGGTCTAAGTTTGCCGAGACAATCACTTAACAAATACAACTATGCGCATTTAAACGAATTGCCAGTGCGTAGTTATGACGATGTAGTACCCGTGATACTACTTGGATTAGACAACTGCCATTTGTGTGTGCCCAGTAAGACAGTCGAGGTTGGTTGCGATCAACCAGTAGCTACTTATACAAAGTTGGGATGGGTGGTATTTGGACCACATCGCCAGGACGCCCGCACCAATCCTAAAGTTTTTCATGTACGTAAGTCAGACTCATTGCTGCATCTTAACAAGTTAGTTGAGGAGTATTTTTCGATTGAAAATTTTGGGGTCAAAAGTAAGATCGCCTTGGACTCAGTCGATAATCAGCGCGCAAAGAAATTACTCGCAGACACAACAAAAGATCTCGGCCAGAGATATGAGGCTGGCTTATTATGGCGGGATGACTCGGTTGACCTCCCATGCAGCTATGCAGCTGCGAAGCAACGTTTAGTAAATATTGAGACGCGCATGAAGAAAGATACAGCTTACGCCAACAGCTATAAGAACGAAATCGCGAAATACCTCAACAAGGGATACGCCCGACAATTAACACCCGAAGAGGCCGCCCATAATAAACCGACGACATGGTACCTCCCGCACTTCGGTGTCGTTAACCCGC